TTCAACAACTCAATTAGCTGGGCATTCAGATCTGTCACCCAAAATTCAATATATTTTAATTTTCAGAAAAGGCTACCTGGGCTAGAGCCCATGGTAGCCCTTAACTTGAAACAAATTTATAGTCGGTGGAAAGGCCCAAGAATATTGAAACTATTAATGCAAAACTTTCATCCTTGACGTGGAATACTGTCAACAAATTCACAATAGTTTCTGAAATTATGATTGAAATCACATGGGATTATCATATCAAATATTTCAACGACATTTTCAAAAACTAATGCCATTGAATGGAGGATTTGAGTCTCACACGCCTTGAGCAGTAAACATAAGACCAAGAGGGATGTCTACACGAAAGGCAATACGGTTGTGTTGCGTACTTGGATAAATTTTGGACCTTGGGATAGACTCCTTCGCTTAAATTGCTACTACGTACTCTCTTGTTCTTGTTTAAAATATCAGTAAATTTTGGTGCCTATATGGTTAACTATTACTAATCCTGAATTACTACAATTATCATGCTATGCTATTTTGCCTAAATAAGGGTTTGAGCTTAATTACGATATGATCTTGCTTGCTTGCTGCAATATCATCTTCCTTTTTTTTTTTAATCAATGGGTATCCATGTGTAGATGACGGGGATTTGGATTTTACCTTTCTTTAATATTGAGATTAAAGTTAGTAGAAACACTAAAAAAGACTTCACTCTTGAAAAAACAGTAAATCCCACATTGGAGAAGTATAATACTTGTGAAGTACTTAATATTGTTAACTCCTAAAATTTTGATTGCCGAGCCTAGTAACGTGGGCTTGTGATCCAATGTGGACGTAATAAAGGTGGAATGTGAATTTGGTCTTATCAGGTAGAAAACCTACGGCCCAGTGCCCTAAGTTCATCCCATTATTTAATTGCACTACTTAGTGGCCCAACCACAAAAGTAGCTTTCTGCAAAGACGCCAGTGCCCATGAATTTGTGGTGACCTATGTTGGTGGCTTATTTGTGGAAAGGCAGTTTGGCTTATCAGAGCAGCTGAGCCCGCCCACTACGAACTTACTGGGCCAGGCCGAGGTGGTCCACTCTTGACCTCTGACCGCCACCTCTTAACAAGTTTTCTTTTTAACTTGAATTTTAATCATTTTTATTTATTTAACTTACCCTTTTTTTTTTTATGGCATTAAAATTTAATTTGTGTAACATCAAGCTAGTGCCATCCATTAATTCAAGATCGGAGGAAGGGAGTTGAATGCAAATACATCCTCTGATATTGGATCGTTTGGTACACCGTATTAGACTCTGGATAGGAGTAAATAGTCTATGTCAGGTGTTTGGTGTCAACTTGTATTATTTAATTACCTGACTATTTTATACGGGTTGGGCTTTTAATACTCTCCATACCTGACTAACTAATACAACTCACACACCCTGGTTTAGATAATACACGCTTAATTATACGGCTAGGGAAAAATAACACACACCTTCACGTGAAAAATCATACGATATTTTCATCTTCTTCTCCCTAGGGTTCTTCTCCACAGGTTATTCTCTTCACTCTTCTCCAAGTTTCTACCTCTCTTTCATTCTCTTTCCAATATGCTTCTTCTCTCTTCTTCTGTGATCATCTTCTCTTTTTATTTTATTTTATATATTTCCTCTTTTATTAAATTTGTGTGACAATTAGGTTATGACGTTTTTTTTTCACTTTAAAAAAAAAAATCAAAACTCATAAGAATTAGAACAATACATGAGTGACCTTGCTGCCCAAACTCGATTGGTTGTTCCAATCATCAATTTAATATAGTCTTGTTCGTTGTTTCGGTGGGAAAGGTTGTGGTAGGTTAAATATGTGCACTGGATATACCTTGTATGCATAAGTGGGTTTGAGGCGCTCTTCGTGTTCGTCTTCTGTGGTGGGATGTCTGAACAGCATAGTGTATTCTAAACTTACTCTATTTGCACACAAAGGAATTGAGGACTCAGATTGAAGCCCTTACGAACTTATGCAACTTATATAAATTCTCTAGTTGCTTCTCAGTATCTTCTCTTGAAGAATTGATTACAAAAGCAAATTTGGAATTTTGTAATTTCTACAGAGGGGATTTACTCTCATATTTGTATTCTCAATTGCAGGTTAGATTAGTTCACGTAATTTTATCTTATAGATCTTGGTAAATTTTTTTTAAAATTTTTTTTTAAAAAAAAAAAATCTTGTCATATGAATCTTATAAAAAAAAATTAGTGTCATTTAAATTTCAATTTCCACTTAAATTATCAAATAATTTTTTTTTAAAATAGTCTAATCCGATGTTATCCGGAACAACACCAAACACAGTATAACTTAGTGAGACTATTTATCCGAAACAACACCAAACGCCTTATAATATTATGGATAAACAGTCAGTACTCTCCGGAACTAATTAATACTATCCGACAAAAATTAATTAGTACAGTCCGATGTACCAAACGAGCCCTTATATTAAGCAGACGCATATTGAAAAGAACATTAGCCACAACTTCTTCAAGGTCTTATATTCTATCTTCTCCCAAGACACAACAAGAAGAAATGGCTTTCCACATCCGCTCCAACAGCTTCCCCTCAAGGCCACACCCGTTCAAGAAGTCGATGAACATTTGTGTGGATTGAGATTCTTCTGAGGCCACCTCCACCCTCCTCGTCAATCAGAGCCACAAACTAAGTGGCCTCCAAGACTTGCACGATTGTATTGATAGGTTGCTTCAGTTGCCCCTCACTCAACAAGACTTGGCCCTTAATTAATTAGAAATTGACTAATGAGCTATTAGATAACTCACCTAGGCTCTTGGATGTTTGCTGCAGTGTCAATTATGCCCTGTTGCAAACCCAGGAATGTGCACAAGAACTTCAATCAATCCTACGAAGAAGGCGGGGAGGGAGGTGAGAAACTGGAGTCACAAGTGAGGTTAACAATACTTGACCTTTGGATGAACCTTAAGGCTAGGGCTTCCTTCTGTTGGAAGGACAAACAGGATACAATTTGGCGTGTTCCCCTTGGTATAATCATCCTTTTAACCAATGCGGAAGGAAGATTGTTTTGTAATTAATATAGAGTCTTTTCTCCTTCTATCTTTAAAAAACAGTAATCCCACATTGGAAAAACATAACCCTTGTTAACTACTTATATTGTTAACTCCTAAAATTTTGATTGCCGAGCCTAGTAACCTGGGCTTGTGACCCAACGAGGGGGCATTAAAGGTGGAATGTGGGAAGGTCTTGTTAAGACGCGACTAACAAGTCCAGTGCCGGTGTTTCCCCTATGGTTATAGTAGGCTTCTACAAAGATGCTCCCAAGTTGTCGGCTAATCTCAGTTGGCTGGTTGGCAGCATTGTGGAAAGGCAGTTGACTTATCAGAGCAGCTGTGGCAGACATAACGGCATCTGATCTCACTCTGGGCCGACTGAGACCCGCTCTTGACTTGACCAATGACCACCACCTTTTTACCTCCCTCCTCCCACAACCCACGACTAAAATAATTTTTTTTTAGAAAGTCAGTGTTTGACCCGAAACAAATTTGTAGAGGCCAAAAATATTTAAACTATTAATGCAAAAGTTTCATCCTCACGTGGGATAATCTCAAAAAATTCAAAGGAGTTTTTGAAATTATGACTATTAATGCAAAAGTTTCATCCTCACGTGGGATAATCTCAAAAAATTCAAAGGAGTTTCTGAAATTATGATTGAGATCACATGGGATTTTTGCAAGCAAATCAAATATCTCAAGGGAGATGAATAATCAACAACTAATGTCTAATAGCATTCAAAGGAGTATTTGACTACACGCTTTGAGCAGTAAACATTATACCAAGAAGAATGTCTAAACTCGGCCGTACGGTTGTGATGTATATATACTTGCATGAAGCATACACAATAAATTCTCCAAAGGCCTTTAATTCTATACAAGAAAATTACTGAACTGCTCGAAATAGAGTTTTATTCATTTTCCTCTTCTCTCTTGAAAAAACCGTAGATCCCACATTGGAAAAATATAATAAGTGTTATGTACTTAATATTGTTAACTCCTAAAACATTGCTCGTCGAGCTTAGTAATGTGAGCTTGTGACCCAACATGGGGGCATTAAAGGTGGAATTTGGAACTTAGTGTAAGACGTGGACAACCTATGGCACAATGCTCTCGGCACGGTTGCTTGCGGGCTACCCTACGAGCAACCATGGTGGCTTATCAGAGCAGCTGTCGATCACGCTAGGCCTAGGTCCGCTCTTCACCTGACCGCCACCTTTTTTAGTTTTCTACGATTTTCCATTACCTGTACAGATTTAATTCAAAACCTATACATTTTCTTCTGTCAATCTCTCCAACCACAGTAGGCAGCCAATCCACTTTTGCTTTGCTTATTAATTCGAAATAAAATGTTTGGGGAGCAGTCCAATTCATAGAGTCTGCTAGCTACAAACCATTTTTCATCATCATGGAAGCATAACGCAATTGCACATGATCATTGAAAAATACAGATTGCAAATCTTGCCTGCTATTACTTGCTTAACAATCATGCCAAGGACCTGAAAAATAATATGAACTTGATCAGCATATAATTGAGTTTATGCATTAGAGTTAAGCATGTTAGTTTATAGAACTCTGTCCAATATGTTAGTTATGAGCTAAATTAATGAGTTCATGAGTTGGGATCCAATTCAAATCATGTTACCCTTCTCACTGATATGATTGAAGAGGATGACCATGTCCCCCTCCTCAACCAACACTATATATTAAACAAACACATGGAAAATATATTACATTAACCACTTCTTTCAAGGTCTTCTATTCTATCTTCTCACAATACACAACAAGAAGAAATGGCTTGCCACATTCGCTCTAACAGCTTCCCTTCAAGGCCACACCCAATTGTTCAAGAAGTTGATGAACATTTGTGTAGATTGAGGTCTTCTGAGGCCACCTCCACATCATCAACATCAATCAGCCACAAACTAACTGGCCTTCAAGACTTGCATGATTGTGTTGATAGCTAGGTTGCTTCAGTTGCCCCTCACTCAACAAGCCTTGGCCCAAGAGCAGAATGAGAAATCGACTAATGAGCTATTAGATGGTTCTCTCAGGCTCTTGGATGTTTGTAGCAGTGCCAAGGGTGCCCTGTTGCAAACCAAGGAATGCGTACAGGACCTTCAATTGATCATGCGAAGAACGCGAGGAGGTGAATCTGGAGCACTCACAACTGAGGTCAGGAAATACTTGACCTCAAGGAAGATGGTGAAGAAGGCAATCCACAAGGCTATGGTAAATCTCAAGGGATCCAGTTTCTCATCCCTCAGCAAGGACAATGAGACTATTGCCGTGGTTAGCACGTTGAGAGATATCGAGGCAGTTACTCTCTCAGTGTTTGAATCACTCATGTCCTTCATCTCTGGTCCAAATTCAAAGCCGAGCAGCAGCTGGTTATTGGTTTCCAAGATTATTCGCACCAAAAGAGTAGCTTGTGAGGAAGAAACAGAAGCAAATGAATTTGCCCTAGTGGATGCTGCTCTGCAATCATTCTTTAAGACAAGCAAATCTGACCACAAGAATGCAGACAACCAGCTTGACAATCTGGAGTCATGCATTCAAGATCAGGAAGAACAACTTGACTGCCTATTTAGGCAGTTGATTAAAACAAGAGTCTCTCTCCTCAAGATCCTAAACCAAATTAATTTGCCCAACTTGACTGCACACACGTGTATACAAATCATCCTCTGGATACGAAATGATTACTCATTTGCTTAATTGTCAATTATTGTCCACCATTTCCATCCTATATATTGATCCTCTTATCAATATCTATACTTGGTCTATTTGCAAGAGACGATGAATTAACTCTGACTCTAAGTAACTCAGAGGAGTATCGAAAAGTATCATTGTCAAGAGCAAAAAGGTTTTGGTTCAATTGGGACAGTCTAGCGAGCCATGATGGAGCCCTACAATGACAAGAGGTTTGACCGATGAGTTATCACTGGCAAGACGCATAATCGCTTGAGCCTACAATGCCAATATCTATGGGAATCAATATAGCAGATAATTTTATATAATTATTCACAATTTGGTAAGACATAACATTATAATAAATTGTTTGAGAAAATTATTTTCAGGAAAAAGAAGTTGAACAGTCAAATATGGCAGTCACAACATAGACATCATGGATTTCAAGCTTTGGGCACATTATTATTTCCTGAAAATTAAAAATTTGTGTGCATTTCTTTGAACTATTCACCTTAGCAGGAATATTGTCATAGACATTGATAATCCCATCATAAAATATTTTCTGAAGTCCTGTTGGATTGATCATCACATCTGTGTATGACACACACAACAAAAATTGAAGAGGACTAACTTCAAAAGGGAAACTAATGTTATAACACAAGAAAATAATTAGGGTAACGATTTTGGCACTCCTAGTTTAGCTTATAGAAATTCAATTTAATTCCTTTTAAAGACTCTCGGTGGACGTTCTAGAAGCAGAAACGGAGAGTATCAACATCGCTACCCAAACATAATAAGCATATATAATGACGAATGTAAGGAAAACATACCGCAATCAAGGAAGCAACTGTTGCTCTATCAAAGATAGCCGGTGTCCTGGGAAATTATTACTACCAAGAAATTTAGGTGGTAATAAAGGGCGAGGTGATGAATGCCTTTTGATAATTTCTGATTCAAATTCAGCTTCCATGCTGGTTTTAGCCACGTTATTTTGACTTCTTGTAAGAAGATACTTTCTGAATAACCAAACACTTTGAGACATATTATTCTCTCCATCCATTGATCTTAAGTTGATGTCTCTTTGCTGGTCATCTGGGGTCCTTATAACTTTTTCAAAACCAGAACTATTTTTATTTTTGTCTTCTCCATACAGTTCTTGGTCTGTTTTCATGAAGAAGTCATTTGGTATAATTGGAGTGCTACAAGCCATGATATATATATGCTGCTCTCTCCCAACTTATTCCCAAGAAGTGAACAGAAGTCTTCAAACATATGTATATATATATATACACACTTGAGAAAGAAAAACAAAATTGTTGAACATCGAACCCATATAAAGGAAATGAAAATTTTATATATATATA